GAGGAGGTTATATGTAGATCCTTGTAATTGGTTCCCCCTTTCCACCACACCCTCCCTCCACCCTCCCAGTATCGCCATTCTCACCATTGGTTCTGAAGGGATCATCTGTCCTGAATTCCCTGTGTTTCCAGTTCCTATCTGTCTAGCCAGATTTGTATAATTGGGGTCATGATAGTGGGGTGGTAAGAAGGAAGCATTTAGGAACTAGAAGCAAGTTGTATGTTTCATCGTTGCTACACTGCACCCTGACTGGCTTGTCTCCCCCATGACCCTTCTGTAAGGAGATGTCCAGTTGCCTACAGATGGTCTTGGGTCCCCACTCTGCACTCCCCTCATTCACAATGATATGATTTTTTGTTCTTTTATGTCTGATACCTGATCCCTTCGACACCTCATGATTACACAGGCTGATGTGCTTCTTCCACGTGGGCTTTGTTGCTTCTGAGCTAGATGGTCGCTTGTTTACCTTCAAGTCTTTAAGACCCCAGATGCTATATCTTTTGATAGCCAGGCACCAAAAGCTTTATTCACCACGTTTGCTTATGCACCCATTGCCCAGACACTATTCTATCTGCTAGCCAGGCACCAATCTAATTTCTTCACCACACTTTGCTATAGGACTCATATAGCACTGGCATTATAAAAACCATTTCCAAAAATTTTTTTTGTTATTGAATTGAGTTGTAAATCATGATTATTTTTCCCGCTTCACATAATTTTTATGAGTTAAGGATTGTTTTCTTTTCATTGTTGCTTGAGTTTCTTTATATTTCTACCTATTTTCTTTCCAGATGCTTTGATCAGATGTCAAATATTATCACTAAATTCTTCTCAAACACATTACTGCTCTCCAGGACTGGAACACATGTAATCATCATTAAATTCTGCTTCTCTCCCTGGAGAATTCCTTTACGCAGCCCTCCATTCTCCTGCTCCATCTGGACTTCCTGCCCAGGTAGTCCCCTTTGCTGGCCTCTGGTGTTGAATATCCTTTTCCTGTGTTCCACACCTTCCTGTGCCTTGAGTTACATTCTCAGTTTGATGAAGCACATCCTGAAGTTACTTTCCAAGAATAGAGGCAGGTGATGTTTATCTTTTTCTTTTGTCTCTATGTGTTAAAAATGTTTTCAAACTATCATCATTCTTAATTTTTAAAATTGAAAAAATATTTTAGATTGGAAATATTTTCCCTCTGTAGGTCTGAAGTATTAATATTTATCATTTGGGGTCATGAAATATGTTATAACAAATAGACTCCAAAATATATAAATACGTAAACAATCAAAATTCAATTCTGTTTCACCTAACAAGCTAAAGCAGGTATTCCTGGTCAGTGGTTGAGTCTCCTTACACATAGTGACCCAGAGGCAAGATTCATTTTGTGGCTCCTCCACCTTCTAGGGCCTTTGTGTGATCTCTCTGCAGATTGTTGTGTTAGGTGCCATCGGGTTGGTTCCAAGTCCTGACAACCCTACGTACAGCAGAGCGAAGCCCTGGTCTTGTGCCACCCTCACAACTGTTCTTACGTTTGAGCCCATCGATGCAGCCACGGTGTCAGTCCATCTTGTCAAAGATCCTCCCCTTTCCTGTTGACCAGCTACTTTAGCAAACATGATGTTCTTCTTTAGGCTCTGATCTCACCTGACAACATGTCCAAAGGATGTGAGATGAAATTGCACCATCCTTGCCTTTCAGGAGCATTCTAGCTGTACTTCTTCCAAGACAGATTTGTTGGTTTTTTAGCAGCCCGTGGTATTTTCAGTAGTCTTTGCCAGCACCATAATTCAAATGCATCCAATCTTCTGCAGTCTTCTTACTCAATGCCCAACTTTCACATGTGTGTGAGGCAATGGAAAATACCCTGGCTTGCACATGGCAAACCTTAGTCTTCAAAGTAACTATCCTTGCTATTACTCTTTGTAAAAACTCAATAAACCCCCAACCTCGGTGCCTCCTCCACACATCCTATGGGATTTAATTATCTCTTGGTGCTAAAATCATACGGGTTCTTTTGGATGAAATCAATCATCTTCTACTGATCTCTGCGTCTCCAACAGTCTCTGATTCCTACATCATATGTCCCTCCACGTACTCTTTAACATTTTGTTAAATCCTTTCACTTTCTGCTGCTTCAGGAGCCCTGGTGGAATAGTGGTTATGAATTAGGCTGCTGACCTCAAGATCCACAGTTCTAAACCACCAGGTGCTCCTGGGGAGTAAGATGGCACTTTCTACTCCTGTAAAGAGTTACAGTTTTGGAAATTCACAGGGGCAGTTCTACCATTTCCTAGTGCAGCAGTTCTCAACCTGTGGGTCATGACCCCTTTGGGGGTTAAATGACCCTTTCACAGGGGTCGCCTGATTCATCATAGTAGCAAAACTATAATTATGAAGTAGCAACAGAAATAGTGTTATGGTTGGGAGGTCACCACAACATGAACTGTATGAAAGGGTCGCAGCATTACGAAAGCTGAGAACCACTGTCCGAGACAGTCTCTGTGAGTCAGCATCAACTCAATGGCAGGGAGTTTGTTAGGGGTCATTAAGTGAGTTCTGACCCATAGTGACCCTTCCGCACCACAGACTAAAACACTGCCTGGTCCTGCGCCATCCTCACAATTGTTCCTATGCCAGAGCCCATTGTTGCAGCCACTGGGCCAACCCATCTCAGTGAGGGCCTTCCCTTTCTTGCCACCCTTCCATTTAACCAAGGCTGATGTCTTTCTCCAGGGACCGGTCACTCTTGGAAACACGTCCAAAGTATGTAAGGCAACATCCCACCATGCTTGCCTTGAAGGAGCACTCTGGCCATCCTCCTTCCAAGACATATGTTTGTCCTTTTAACAGACCACCTGGAACAGCTCCTTAAATTTTCTTAGTCTTTCCCAACGTTGGCATTTTTAACAAATACAGGCCAGCTATGTAATAGCAGTTTCTCACTTTGGCTTTATTGGACATTTCCCCGTAATTTGTATCCCTAAATGAAATACAACAAAAATGATGCATGTCCTTGTCAAGATATCAAATCCATAGGCACTCTATTTCGGTATTAACTTTCACCCAAAACACCATCACGTTGTTAAAATGGCCTTTGATGATGGCAGTCTTCTGCATCTGTATTTCAGTGGTTTTCCTTCCCTCTGGGGACCAATTCCAGCTCCTTAGCATGCAATCCTGCACCACCGTCCCAGACCGGTCTGCCTGCATCCTCGCGGGCTGCTGCCAAGGCTTGTGCGTTCCCGGAGTGCATAATGCTTGTCTTATCATTTCAGACACACCATGGATTTATTCTCCGGCTGGAAGAGCTCCTTAATATTGTAGTTTTCAGATGACTAGCTCCAAAGTCAGTCCTAGGCGTTAATGATCTCTAAACAAGAATCAAAAATACAAGGGGCTTCCTTTTGACTTTAATTGAAGTAAATGCAGAAGCCATGGATAGCTTGCCATTTGAAGAGTCCTCGTGCCTACAACTCAGTGAAACAGGAGAATTCCTTCTGAGAGGTCCCAGTAAGGCATCCGGGCCTCAGCGTCAGTCTCATTTATTTGTACATTTTCTCATAGGCTACTCTAACCGCATGATGCCGCAGTCCATTGATGCTGAAGGGGCGCCTTCTGCAGGCGCTGCTGGGGGTTCCGCATTTAAAGGGAGGTGGATACAAGGACATTATTCCGTAGGTCAAAGGGTTCTCGGCGGGACAGTGGTACGGAAAGAAATGTCACCTGGCAGTGTTTAATGAATTTTCACTCTGTACCCACTTAATTCTCCACTTTAAATTGGCCCGTAGCACGTTTCTGAGGGCTGCCAAAGGTTCCCTCCTGGGAAGATTCTGATTCTGAATTCTATCATGAACAGGTTTGGGGTTCCCCCCCCTTCCCATCATTTTCTGCCAGGGGCCGACTGGAGGCTTTGAGACTCATGAGCTGTACATGTCCCCAGGGCTGCAGACCCCACTGCTGCACAGCCTGACCTTGCTGTACCTGTGTGCTAAAATCAGACCCCGTGTCACCCTGCCCTCTGCTCTGCCTTAGGTCCAGAACGCCAGGCCGCTCGTGGACAGCCGGGCCCCACCGACTTTCAGCCACCTCCGCCTGAAACTCAAGAAGCTGAAGGTAGCTTTTCCGCTCGCTCCGTCTCCACATGAATGGTCTAACCAACTACCTTAAGAAAATGTCAGCAGCCCAAACCCAGGGAAGGGGAAAGTGAGGCCCGAGGAGCGGTGAATAAGTCACTCTTCCAAGCAGAAGGCAGTCCAGGCAAACAATTACTGTCCTCCTGCCCCGAAGAGCGATGGCTGGTGTCACACACAGACCTTTCTTGTGTCCTCCTGGGACAGCTATCCTGCTCTGAAGGCAATGACCTGGGGGGAGGGGGGG